TTTGGGATCAGGGGGATCAGGGCGGCACGTTCCACGTGACTGTCCCTTTTTTAGTCTTTTTGATCTCTTGTCCGGTGTTACCGTGACATTAGAAACAATCTGACATTTTCTGTGCCCCTGCTTAGTGTCTAACACAAGCAGCCACATATTTTCAGCGCAAGCAGTTTCAGCCGTAGCGCACGGCTTTTTTGACATACATTCCAATCCGATCTCTACCCGGTGTGAGCCTCAGCAAGACTCTGAGCTGCCCAAAGCCTCAAAGTGCAAGGCCACCTCCAGGATCGACCTCGACGCCCACTACAAGCATCAGGAAACCAACAAGGAGTGTGGAAGGCTCCTCACACTTGTGTCACTAGGCGCATCGTCCACAGACAGGCAGCGAGCAGCAGCTAGGGTTGTAGATACCACACACATCATAAAGCGCGGAATCATCCGCAAGCCATGCAATCACACCCCACCACTCGAATGCTACAAGCCCAGAAAGGGACGTCTTACCACTGGTAGTCGCAAGCCGGCACCGCCCCCAGAGCTTATAACCTCCAATGCCGTTCCCCCCATCATTGTTGCTCCATAGCCAGTGTGACCCCTTCCCAACTTCGTTAAGGTCAACACACACGCACGACCCATTCGCCCTCTTCCATCCAAAGTCAGGCCCACCCTCCACATTGAAACACTCAAGAAGCAGGTCTCTGCTACCTGCTTCAGACTACAACCGATATTAGGAGTGTTCTGGGAGAGAATTGATCAGGACAAACGAAAGAAGGTACAACTCCTCGCATCGGAGTTAGACAAAGTCTGCGCAGACCTCTACACGGGAACTCGTGAATACACCTTCATCGACAAACAGGTCATCAACACGTGCTGCCTAGAAATAGGAAGGATCAACTTCAAGGAGATAGGGAAGCAGCAGAGGTTAGACGAGATCATCAGGGAGATTGGGAAAGTCAAGGACAAGCAGTACCTAGGCTTCATTTTCAATTAGTTTAAGTACATCTATATTACAATGGAAGGAGCTGATCGTGCGTACACATCCACATTCAGGCAAAGAATGGATGATATTCTGCATACAAACGTCGAGTCAGCACACGATGGAAGCACCCCACGCGCCTCGCAGCGCAATTCACCAGAATCTGCACTAGGACTGCAGGATTCTGCATCGCAAGTTGGAGGACCAGCGTCCCCAACTCCATCACTCTTACCCGCCTATGTTCCCCCCATCTGGGAATTCGACGGACACCAGTTCGAGCATCTAGAAGATGCGCTCAGACAGTCCGCTCCCGGAGAGGTCCCGGACCACATTCGCGAATGAGTTATTGTGGCAATGAAGCTCACGGTCAGTACCGAAGTCGCCAAGGTCTACAATGTGCTCAGAAACAAGATGTATGAGCACAAGAAAGCCTTCGAGTCGCTGATCCAAAACAACAAGAGCGAACACCGACTCAAGGAGAGAATGCTCCAGACGGAGATCGGGAAGCTCAAGGATAGGATCCTCGCGCAAGATGCGCATATGACAGTTTTGAACGATGAGCTCACGGGAACCCAGGTGGCAATGCTCAATACAGGCAAAGAAATGATGGAAATCAAGGCAGCTAACATCAAGCTGCGACATGAGCTAGCTTCGCTCAAAGCAAGCGACGTCACTGTGATGCAAGGTCAAATGTCCGGCATGATCCAATCGCACAAACCCCGCATCAAAATTGCTGAGCCTCCACACTACTCGGGCAAAGGA